GTGCCGTCTCCAATGACCCTACTGTCGTCTCCTACCGCTGACTGCGACACAGTCATCCACAAAGAGCATCTATCAAAAGAACCCCTTTCGAAAAATATGTCTCGAAACTTCTCTGTGCAGCATCTGACCCAAGGAGATATTACGATATCTCGTCACATTCAATCAGCAAACCTGATTGACCAGTCCTTTCATGATTTCAAACCAGCAGTCTCTGTGAATGAGCCACTTCCCTCCTCCTTGGAGTCATGCGATACTGTAGCTGAGATTAACTTCTCTTGTCCTACGGACACTTCTGCAAGCACTGCGGCCGTCTCAGGAATAAAAGCATCGACGTGCAGAGTGTTTTCCGCTTTGAGGGGGACTGAAACCCCTTACAATGAAACTAACGGCGTCAGCCCCACAACTGACCCGATGATTCCCACTGGTGAAATACTGTGCCATATTGCAGAAAGATATCCTTGTCTCAGTTCGCAGGTACTGGAACAGTCGCCACACGCAGACGCTGTGGTGATTGACAGGCCATGACAGCCACTGAGCATTTTCAAACACAAACACCAGGAGATTTGGTTGAATGGTTACAGCCAATCTACTAACCATGCAGCTGCTGACAACTCGTACAAAGGGTCCGACCCAGACCCATGATGAGCCTCATCGAGGCCGGTGGGGGGGTCAAGACTACGAGCAACACTGTAAGAGACCGCCAGAGCAGGAAACAAATCTAGTTGTAAACTTCCCCATGAGAACAGAGAGGAGCGGACAAGCCCCTCGACAGGGATAACCTTAGAACACATCTGAGATATCACTGAGGTGTACCACACTGGTGGTTAAATAAGTTCAGTGGACTTTCCACTTCCAAAACAAATGGCAACGATAATCGTTCCTTGCCATGTGTAGTTCAACTACAGTGCAACTAGTAAAATGCTCTAATCAGGTATTCTGGTAGGATAGCATTTCAGAATACATCGGTAGGATAGCTGGTCCCCTTGAGTACCAGTAACAATACCAGCAACAGTCAGTCCAGCTACAATCAGTAAGAAGGTTAGAGATCTAACAAGTCAAATTGCTCTTGACAACAGCAACAGGGGAGTTAGTTGTCACTCAGATTGCAACACGTGGAAGGGAATCTCCCAAAACACTCTTCTGATGGTTAACACACATGCCACTAATAAATAGAACCCTCCATTCAGGAAGAAAGTTATTAGAAGTCATGAACCATGATCACACCACGTACGACTGGTTCAGTGCTTATACAGTACTTCCGTCGTGAGGTTAGCTCCTCCGTGGATAACATAGCTATGAAATAGACTCCTTCCTACCTATTGCCACTACAATTGTGTAAAACACATTGACTTGTAGTAAAACCACTACAGGTCCCCTTGGCATATAGCTTGAGGTCGGCACCGATTCTTACTGACCTCCAGTCATTGACATGGAAATTATCTGACGACGTCAGACTCGTTCTGAACAGGTTGCAGCCTACCAGGATACTTGGTTTTCTTTCCCTTGGCATGCGCGCTTGTGTAAGCATAAACGCACATGTACAACGGAACATTTAATGAGGATTTATGCTAGGATCACTTAAGGGTCCGAGCAACACACCAGCCTGGGTAAAGTTGAAAATGTACCCTGAGGCCTTTGATTCTACAGCTACCGACCTCACCAGTTTCTCCCCAGAAGTCCATAGGTCATCCCTGTAGACTGTCATGTATCATGTAGTTATCAACTTAGGATAGTGCCTAAGCAACACACCACTAAGTGGGAAAACCCTAGACATGACATTAGAGACAATGCCATGATAGAGTCATTTAGCCAAGACCGTGGATGTATATATAGAATACAGTCCAATTAGATGATTAAGGTGAGGTAACTATATTTTGTGTCTCTTTTGTTTATGCTCTTATTCATTTTGTTTCATTTTCTCTGACACATTTTGTTTCATTTTCTCTGACACTTACGAAGTGATGCCATAAACAAGTTCCCCATACAACCATCAGTTAGTGCCACAGCGCCGCTCACTTGGGAAATAAATGTAATTATGTATTTCGTGAGTGTGTGTGTGTGTGTGCATTGTTAACATCTGCCTAAGTTACTTCCCAGATCTACCAGCCTGGACGACCAGATGACGGGTCCGGAACAGCGATGCCCAACCAGGACATCCCCTGGCCATTCTTGTGGTGGCATGCAGCTTGCAGAGATCCTCCCAAGGTAAATCACCAGAGGGGGACCGCAACGGCGATCCCCAACCAGGACATCCCCTGGCCATTCTTGTGGTGACCTGCAGCTTGCAGAGATCCTCCCAAGGTAAACCACCAGAGGGGGACCGCAACGATGATCAACAACCAGGACATCCCGGGGTCCTTTTTATGGTGGGTTGGAACTTGCATAATAATACCAAGATTGAACCACCAGAGGGGGACTGTCATAACTTGCCCTCATGGGTTGAGGATCAAAGATGCCGGCTAGGCAAAGGTTTGAAAACCCCTCTCCTGGGGGCCAGTTTTATGACCGGTTGTAAATACTGTGCAGACTTTCTCTTCCTTGCCATGAAGTATTGGGAGAAAGGACCCCTTTGTTAACACAGAGATTCTTCCCGCCAAAACTCCAACATCCAAAAGTGGATAATGAAACAATATTCATACTTCAAAGAATGTGGGAAATGGTCAGTGGCGAATTAAAGAACAATCATGTCAAATTCGTTACTATGTTGTGATGTCATTAAAGACGGTGGAACAACATAACTGTATCTCTGGGGGTGTACACTTCCCAGTTATGAGGTTTGCATCTAATTGTTGTATAAAACGAATGATTACATATAATAATACTTTTGTGAAGATAACAATGTGATTTTAGCATTCTAGATGAGATGATTGTTTACATATTGATTTGTTCTCAGTCAGTGGCCACGCCCAAATGAGCACAAACATGATGAAACGCCCCCTTTTCTACTCAGGTATAAAACCTAACCACCACTACGACCAGAAACTCTACCAAGGACATTGGGATCTCTGGTGGGCAAACCAGAGTCCTACATCATCAACTCAACTATCGAGGACAGCTACACATAAGTACATGTTTCATTTCTAATCCGAATGAGCGGTTAGTGGGGTTTTATGCATTTGTATTTCCGTGAGCGTAGTTTCCGAAGTAACCACGATACTTTGAATCTCTGTAGCACTATACAGTATTTTGACAATTTAGATCTTACACAGAGACACTGATTGTTCATCACTCTACAGTACTACAGTATAGATGGTTAATGTGTGTGATGTCATTATGCCCTCTTCACACATTTCCCCCTCTTCACCCTGGCTCCCTGTTGGCCCGCCACGCCCTGCTCCGCCCGCTGGTGGGGCAACTTCCCAGAACCCCTCTGACCCACCGGCTCCACTTTCTCTGCCAACAACAGAACAGCAGCAAACAGACACAATTAGGCCCTCATATCCTGAGTTGGGAAATGGAGTGGCGATGAAATATCCTGTGGCCATTAATCTTTCCCCAGGGGTTGAGGGTGACTGAAACCACAGGGCCAGGCACTGATTAAATGTTTCTAATAGAGGCCATTCATCTCCCTGTAAATCTCCTGCATGTGTCACCACCACACAACTAACTATCTTTATTCAGCCTGCCTCTCTCCATAGAGACATCGACATTTTAATAATGATGCACACAAGTTGATCAACAAGCTAAAATCTTACAGTAATGTCTTTGCATCTGCCTAGCAAAATGACAAAGTTACTTTTCAATTGCTCATTTGTTGATGAACATCCCAACCTTGTTTCAGCATAACCAATCTGATCATGATGTCATAAAGGACATTAACATTCCAAATGTATGTTTTACATTAACGACCACATGTTAATGGTCATCCTGCACTCTGATTATCCATAGCTGCTGCTGTTTTAATGGAAGATGGTTCGATAATATGCTGCTTAGTATGACTTGTGTAGACACATTTGTCATCAATATCTTCCAATCTGCCAATTTATCAAACCCCAAACACGTTTGTTCTCTCTGTCTGCCACAGGTGGAGCCAGGGCCTAGATAGATTATCAGATCCCCCACCAGACTGGAATACAGATTTGTGGCCAAACAAAGAGGGAACATTTAATAAAACATGGAAAAAAACATCCAGGTACTAATATCTTTATAACATCAATATAAGCTGTTTTTTTGGTAATGTATTAGAAGTCAGTGTCTTTTATGATGGGTACTAATTTAGCATTGTACAATATTAGCATTCAATATGCCAAAAAACGTCAACCATTCACATAGACGGTCCATACACCATTCCTAAAGGTACTGTATAATCATCGTCTAGGTCATCATGAATTACATTTATGTAATAACATTTCACCTGCCAGGCTCCATATGGTTCACATGACTCCAACCAAACAATAAGATAATTACATCCCAATTAAACAATTACCAAATTCAATCTCAATTGAACAACTGCCTAATCGTATCAGTGTAGCAACATTACAGTACACATGCTGTACATCCACTGCTGACATCAAGATGTCTGTGAGACTGTGAGCTCCATCAACGCATTAGACAAAAGATTTGACAGAGCCAAGAAAGCATTCTGCAACTTTTGTCAGAGTAACACAAAGTAAATGTAGAACCTGCAGCATCAAGGTGGTGAGGTTGACTTCAGTAGTTAAATCATGTAAGATTCTATTCATTACCAATTAAATGTAACATCTTTAAAAAACGTAAGCCAAAATATGATTTCACCATCTTTAAATGACATTACTGGTTCTGCATTAGGAAAGATGAGGAGGTTGTGACAGGGGCAAGGGAGGGGGGGAAGGGAAGGGAAGGGAAAGGATACATGCTGGGATGGGCACATTGGGGGTAGGTATGAGATCATTCAAATCAGAGACAAAATAAAAACCTCCAAGCTGGGACAACACTGCCCTCCATTGGCAAACCGGAGCACATTTCTCTCCATACTGACACCCTCCATGTAAGACCAGTGACCACATAGCAATAACCTGTACCTATTTGACCTCCCGCTTGTCTCCTCTCTGCTTGGTTGGAGACTCCTGGAAGCTGACCAGACTGTTGGAGTAGGGTCGCCCAGGAACGAGAGAGCCCCTCTTTTCTGTGGATGAATAAAAGTCATTTCCTGAGACACAAGAGGTAAGAAAATGGACCTAGAACAGATATCAGGGCCACCTCTTTTCTGAAACAAACTGAGCTTTAATTAAATGCCACATTTGGCCCCTGCTGTGTGTTAGTCTCTTAAGCCCTGGTCCCAGTGATGAGGCAGGGCATCAGTGTGGTGTGTGGGGCCGTGGTTCCCCCAGGCCACAGGAGGTTGGTAGCACCTTAATGGGTAATGGCTGGAGCGGAATTGGTGGAATGGTATCAAATACATCAAACACATGGTTTCTATGTGTTGATGCCATTCCATTTGCGCCGTTCCGGCCATTATTATGAGCCGTCCTCCCCTCAGCAGCCTTCACTGTCCCAGCCCAGCGGTGATCAGCAAGGCCCAGCAGAGCTCCATCTGCTCTGGGTATCACCAGTGGCAGATCCCTACCAGGGAGAGCAAGGGGTGGGGGTCATGGATGAGTAACTGTGACAAGGTTGAGAGTCCTGGTCTGACATTACAGTACACCACCTCCTCTCTGCACTTCATCCTTCATCACCCCCTGCCCCCCAGTACATGCACTTGAGTCCCACTCCGGGCACAGACTCCCCACTGAGTGACAGCAACAGGCCAGCAATGGCCACACACACACACACAAGCACGCATTGCATGCACTCACGCGCACACACACACACACCCATGCACGTACACACACACACATTTACTCTGAAGAGAGGCACTCACTGTACAGTCTCCAGCCAGATGTGACAAACAACACAAGTTTCCTTCCTGGGCTGCTGCTGCTGCTGTTTCTAATGCTCCATCAATCTAATGTTCTAAAGGGCAACTCTCTTAATGTTCCCCGTCACAATGACAAAGGAAGAGGTTACTAGAGTCATTTATTCTTCAATATAAACTCATACACAAACACACACCATCTGTATTTATATCAATAAATAATTAGCATTTTTATATCGGCAAATCTGTGCAAAATTACGAACTATTAATTATTTGACCTTTGGTAGCTGTGACACTAAATGGGTTTTCTAAATGTAAGATATACTTGTGGGTTCCCAAGATATACTTACGGGCTCCCGAGTGGCGCAGCGGTCTAAGGCACTGCATCTCAGTGCTTGAGGCGTCACTACAGACCCCCTGGTTCGATTCCAGTCTGTATCACAACCGGCCGTGATTGGGAGTCCTATAGGGCAGCGCACAATTGGCCCAGCATCGTCTGGATTTGGCCGGTGTAGGCCGTCATTGTAAATAAGAATTTGTTCTTCACTGACTTGCCTAGTTAAATAAAGGTTAAATAAAAAAGTTTTGATCCATTATAATATCATCATAAGATAAACTAAGATAAAATAGTGCACATGTGGAGTCTGAACTATGAAGCACACAAAATTATTGATTTGCATATAAACATACAGTAAAAAACAAACACACTACCTTTTGAGATGGTTTATACCTGCTCTATGGCAGGCAGTAGGCCACTGGATGACCTCCGGGTCTCCAGAGCTTGTTTCCACCAGCTGCCCAGCTTACAGTGCCCAGCCTATCCTCTGGGGTGCTCCTGAAGCATGCTGCCTCATCCTTGTGTGAGGCCTTCTCCCCTCCAGGTAACCTTTCTCTGGATGTCTCTGGGGCTGAGGAGGGGCTGAGCTGGGGGGTTGCGGCTGGGGCTGGGCTGGTCCTGCGGGACAGGGGGACTCCAGGGATCTGTAGCTGTCTGGAGCATACAGACCTTCGACGGGGGATGAGCAGGGAGGAGTCCTGGAGAGAGAAGGGCCTGATGTACCTCCCAGAGCCCCCACTGTCCTGTTCCCCCTCCAGGGTAGAGCCTCTCTCTGTATCTCAGCCACTGGGTCCTGCATTTCCCAGCTCCTCTATAGAACAGAACGTTTGGTGGAGCTAAGAGAGCAGGTCCTGGGTGGTCTCCGTGAGGGCACAGGATGTCAGGATCTCTGGTTGGTCAACTGCATCCTGGGAGTCCTGGAGAAACCCAGATGGCCATACTGTGGGTGGTCTGCATAGTATGTACAGTATGTAATTGGACAGTAGAGAGGTCTGTCACCTGTAAGGGCTCCAGCTCCAGGAAGCAGCGAGATGAGGCAGCAGCAGCCCCAGAGAAGGGGGAGCTCTGGGGGAGGAGGTTCTCTGATTTGTCCCCTCCAGGTATGACGCACCACACGTCAGTCACATTTGGTGAATGAATGATTTCCTCAGTCACTTCTTTGAAGTAGTCCATTTTATCTGGATTATCATGAACAAAGGTAATTTAGTTGAAGGGCTAATTATTTAATTATCTCTCAGTCAAGTCATACAGTATATACAGCAGATATTGTGAAAACACAGCCACAACACTGAGAGTGTAGTAACATTTGAAACACACCATAGTCAGGTGTCAGGAAGTTGTGACTCTCCACTTGGATCTCAGAAACAGAGGGCACTGATTGGTTGTCCTCATTACTATAGAACTGAGGATGGAGGTTTAGTCTGCTCAGACTATGCCTGACAAACAAATGATCACATAAAGAACATGTTCTGATCTTACTGTACTTTATAACACAATGCTGGCCACAAAAAATAGTGGAATAATGGACTAATCAGTCTGTTGAAATGATAAAGTAAACATAGCCATTGTGTAAATGTAAGGCTTGAGAGGGGTCACCTTCTGTCTAATGTTACATCTACAGGGGGAACGGCCTCCTCTTCCACAATGAAGACGTAGTCTCCTGGTATATCACAGGTCATGATCTCCTCCACTCCCTCTAATGGAAACATTACAAAAGAAACAAAAAAACACACACTTTCAAGAACTCAGATGACCAGAAAATGTTCTGTTGGGGTAATACTCAAATAACTTTCTTTCAAAAAGAGCCGACAACTTAAATCTTGAGTATCAAACAGCTCCAGTTGGTGCATCTGAACTCACACTCAGTGGAGAACACCAGCTCGTCCACATTCATGCTGTCTTTACTGAGGCTGTTGCTCAGTTGGTAGAGCATGGCGCTTGCAACGCCAGGGTTGTGAGTTCGATTCCCACGGGGGGCTAGTATGAAAAATGTATGCACTCACTAACTGTAAGTCGCTCTGGATAAGAGCATCTGCTAAATGACTACAATGTAAATGTACATGTAAATGTAAGGAGACAGGGTCTGTGGCGCCCTCTAGTGTCCAAGACAGGTCAGGGCAGCCTGGGTGGAGTATGTCTGCTGGGGGGATGGGCTGTCATACCCTCCTCCATCACTAAGGAGGGAGGAGATCTGCTGCAGCATCGCTGTGCTTCCATACACATATGGGACGCCCCATCTCAGAGGGGGCAGAGAGGAGGCAGAGGTGAAAGAGAACATCGATTCAGAGCTCTCCTTGGACTGGGATTGAGAGGAGAGGTGTGCCGGGGTCCGGTGTTTCTCCTGCATTGAGACAAAGAAATGCATATTTTAATAATCATCATTTCCCAAGTATTATTCCTCAGCACACTCACTCTCAGACAGAACCACAGTAATAAAGTACCTCAGCAATAAGAGGCAGGTCATCATTAGGTGGCTCTGTGTCTCCCTGCTCTACCAGCCTGTCAGTCATCATATCCACTGGGGAGGTGCCAGGGAGGAGGTGCCTCAGGGCCTGGGTGGTCAGACTCAGCTTCCGACAGCATTGGGAACAACATTTGTGGGGTCATATTTTATTGACTGTACCTCACAGTTGGCTGGGGTTGTCTAAGTTCAATCATAGATTCCCTGAGGAGTCTGATCCAATCCTCTGGAGAGAGAGTGTTGCTGTTCTGAGACTGATTCTGCAGGGCAGAGAACGGACGAATTGGAACCCCTGCAATTCACAACATTTCAATGACTTTCAGAATACTTGATAGTGATGATGATCAGTATCAGTCACAATCTGTACCTGGCTCTTTCACTGTCATAGGGATCCCTGTGGTCCTCTTACGCTGAGGAAGGCCATCTACTCCACACTGACTCTCAGTCTCCTCCGACTGATTAGTACAATGGCCTACATCCTAATAAAGGTACAGTTTTTCAATAGAAAATTACTGACATAAACACACTGCATGTACTGTATATGCCTATATGTATTTACATGTCTATTATGATATGTGTTACAAAAGGGGTCACCTTCCATACTGCTTCCATGCAGTCTGAAGCCTCCACACATAGGCCAAGCCTCACATCCATTGAGGAAGTACCTGACCATGTCATCACTTCCTGTGTGACCTTTCTTTAGGAGGGCCCAGGCATCTGAGACATGGCTGAGGGGCAGAGAAAACTAGATTGAATATGAAAACCGTAACGCCATATAGAGAAACTGTATATGGTACAGTAGTCTATGCAGTATAGTATATCCTTGTGTATCTATACCTGTTCTGTAGGAGTACATCCACAGAGAGCTTAAGGTCGTGGGGGCTCTCTGTGGCTGGTCTGGTCCACTATAGATACTTCAGCGCCAAGTGGAGCTGCTTTCTCCTCAGCAGGCTGTGGATGATGCAGCGGTGCTGCCAGGAGAACCAGGGTGGTTCAGACCTGGGGCTCAGCAGCAGCTCCATTGAGCCCTACACAGATGTAATGACATACACTCTTAGAAAAAGAAGGTGCTATCTAGAACCTTAAAGGGTTCTTCGGCTGTCCCCATAGGAGAACCCTTTGAAGAACCCTTTTTGGTTCCAGGTAGAACCCTTTTGGGTTCCGTGTAGAACCCCTTCTACATGGAACCTGGAACCAAAAAGGGTTCTACTTCGAACCAAAAGGGTTTATTCTATGGGGACAGCCGGAGAACCCTTTGTGTGTAGCCATAGGACACTCTAACCCCCATTTTGGCTCTGTTGAACCATGCTAGAAGGCATGTATACTGAGTGTACAAAACATTAAGAACACATGCTCTTTCCATGACAGACTGACCAGGTGAATCCAGGTGAAAGCTATGATCCCTTATTGATGTCACCTGTTAACTCCACTTCAATCAGCGTAGATGAAGGGGAGGAGACAGGTTAAAGAAGGATTTTTAAGCTTTGAGACATGGATTGTGTATGTGTGCCATTCAGAGGCGCACCGGTTTGTGTCAAGAACTGCAACGCTGCTAGATTTTTCACGCTCATCAGTTTCTCGTGTGTATCAAGAATGGTCCACCACCCAAAGGACATCCAGTCAACTTGACACAACTGTGGGAAGCATTGGAGTCAACAGGGGCCAGCATCCCTGTGGAATACTTTCGACACCTTGTAAAGTCCGTGCCCTGACGAATTGAGTCTGTTCTGAGGCCAAAAGGGGGGGTTCAACTCAATATTAGGAAGTGGCTCTTTCACTGTCATAGGGATGTTTTGTACACTCAATGTACACCAATGGACTAAATGGTACTGTGACACTGGTCACAGAGGTCAGAGTAACATACTGATAACTGTCCATGGTCGAACAACCAGAAGGCCCGGATCTGCTGTGAGAAGCTGGGTGGGATGGTGAAGGCATGGCAAAAGGACTGCAGGAGGTCATTTTTGCACTGTAGAAAATTGGCCATGTCCAGGATGAAGTACATGAGCTGTGCACAGACTGTGTTAAGTGTAGTTTACATGATCAAGAATACTGTATATTAATTTCAGTTCACATGACAGTCATATTAACACAGTCATACCTTTGAGGACACTTTATGGATTCTCCATGGTTGGATACAATAGCCTGAACAGACATGTTGTCAATGCAAGGCACCAGCAACCAGTTTCAGCAAAGCCTGCAGGTTAAGGGGCGGGTACCCCTGGTCGGTGCAGTCCTCAGAAGTCCATATGGGCCTGTGTTGTTTGTCCATCTGAGCCACCATACCCTGGATCAATGAATTCCACCTTTCCCTTCCCTCCTCCTCCAGACTAATCAAATAGAGGGAGAGGAAAAGGGAGATGTGGAGAATCGATCAAGAAAGAAAGATTAGGCAGTAAAGGAGGAAGACAGAAAGAGAGTGAGAGACAGACTGCCTATCAGTGATTTAAGAGTTACCCAGGAGTGTGGAGGCAAGCCCTGCGGTGGTTCTGGTCTATCTCTCTCCACATCTGAGAGATCCACTTTATTTCTTGAGCATCTGAGAGGAGGAGAGGAAGAGTCAGTGTATATGTAAATACTATAGACTAACCCTAATCCTAGACTGGTAATACATTGTACTTACAGCTAAAGCGCCAACCCTAACCGTATCAATAACCCTAACCCTAGCTATAACCCTAACCGTAACACTACAATACTACAACATACAACACTTGTTACACTGTACTTATAAGAATAGTTACACAGTAATAACAACTCTGTGATGTAAAGTGTGACCGGTTTGTAAAGTTTGACTGTGTGTGTAATATTAACGTATGCATCCTTACGAGGGTACTTGGGCAGGAGTCCGGTGATGCCCCACCATTGTACCAGCCGACCCAGCCAGATGTGCTGCTTCAGAGCTCTGCATTCCCGATTCCAGCAGTCCTGCCTCACTGCTGAGGAGCCACAGTCAACCCTGCAGACCACACATGGGATCCCCAAACCTACATACACACACACAAAGGAGAGACAGCCACCATTCAATCAGAAAACAGCTCTCTTTGTAGAAACGACAATTCCAATCCTCTTTTCACCATATGTCCCCATATTGTTACACCCGTCCCATATGTTAGAACTAGGTGTCTAGGTAAGCTCATTGTACTAAACAAACTAGCAAGTTGATATCATTTATACAACAATCTGATCATTGTGAGAGTCATGGTTGGAGTAGTACTGTACCATGCCTCCTCCCCCACTGGGCCAGAATCAGCAGGTTCCTCAGCCGCTGCAGCAGAAGGTGCACCCTGGTGAAGCAGCTGTGGTCCAGGAACATCCACAGGCCCTGGCAGCGGCTGAAGCCTGGAGACAGGGGAAGGGAGGGGAGGGGAGGGGAGGGGAGAGGGCGACCCAGAGAGAGGTGACAGGAGAAGACCTCAGGAATACAGCCGTGAAAAGAGCTGGGATCAATAACCTTGGGGTCTGTTTGGGATGGCTGGTGCTGGTGTATATCTGCTTACATAGGGTGAGTAACTCCTTCTTTGAAACTTCAGCCGTCGTCTGGACCCAGCTGCTAAAAGAAGCGAGGCTGTCCTCCACATCAGCATCTCCCACTGAGAGACAGACAGGTGAATGGAATGAGACAAATGAATGTCATGACATTATCAAATGCAGCATGAACTGACATGAAATGTAACTATTGATGATCATAGAAGAATTACAGTGTGTTGCAGTATCTAGCCATTCTAAAAACACAGTAATTTAAGTGTGCTGCGTATTGTTTCATATTGCCAGTCCAGTGCTCTGACCTTCAGCTGAGAGGCTGTGTAGCCAGTGGAGGATGGCCCTCACGTTGTTGCTGGCCAAAGCCTGTGTCCACTGGTCCTGCTGTTATGTCCACTCACACCCTACAGTTGGAGGTCAACAGTGAATGTACCAAACACATACAGTAGGTCAATGTTGTAAAGGAGGACATGTTCTCAAATCCCTTTTCTGGTCAAATAAAAGTTCTGGATGAATAACTTTGTGTACGAATGCAATTAGCAGCTCCTGTTCAATGTACTGAGGCTGAAGTCATGCAGACAGTAATTTGCAGTCAATGGATTCTCTGTCGGGAGCGTTACTGAACATAATCCCTCATATCCATAGGTGGTTATAAACCTATTCCAAAGAAATGCGTTGAATACATCAACAATAAGTAATGTTGCTATATTGAACTACAAACCACAGGCATCAGAGGATAATTGGTACAGTTGAAGTCAGAAGTTTACATACACTTAGGTTGGAGTCATTAAAACTCATTTTTCAACCACTCCACACATTTCTTGTTAACAAACTATAGTTTTTGGCAAGTCGGTTAGGACATCTACTTTGTGCATGACACTAGTAATTTTTCCAACAATTGTTTACAGACAGATTATTTCACTTATAATTCACTGTATCACAATTCCAGTGGGTCAGAAGTTTACATACACTAAGTTGACTGTGCCTTTAAACAGCTTGGAGAATTCCAGAAAATTATGTCATGGCTTTAGAAGCTTCTGATAGGCTAATTCACATAATTTGAGTCAATTGGAGGTGTACCTCTGGATGTATTGCAAGGCCTACCTTCAAACTCAGTGCCTCTTTGCTTGACATCATGTGAAAATCAAAGGAAATCAGCCAAGACCTCAGAAAAAAAATTGTAGACCTCCACAAGTCTGGTTCATCCTTGGGAGCAATTTCCAAATGCCTGTATGTACCACGTCCATCTGTACAAACAATAGTACGCAAGTGTAAACACCATGGGACCACGCAGCCGTCATACCGCACAGGAAGGAGACGCATTCTGTCTCCTAGAGATGAACGTACTTTGGTGCGAAAAGTGCAAATCAATCCCAGAACAACAGCAAAGGACCTTGTGAAGATGCTGGAGGAAACAGGTACAAAAGAATCTATATCCACAGTAAAAACGAGTCCTATATCGACATAACCTGAAAGGCCGCTTAGCAAGGAAGAAGCCACTGCTCCAAAACCGCCATAAAAAAGCCAGACTACGGTTTGCAACTGCACATGGGGACAAAGATCATACTTTTTGGAGAAATGTCCTCTGGTCTGATGAAAGAAAAAATAGAACTGTTTGGCCATAATGAACATCGTTATGTTTGGAGGAAAAAGGGGGTTGCTTGCAAGCCGAAGAACACCATCCCAACCGTGAAGCACGGGGGTGGCAGCATCATGCTGTGGGGGTGCTTTGCTGCAGGAGGGACTGGTGCACTTCACAAAATAGATGGCATCATGAGGAAGGAAAATGATGTGGATGTATTGAAGCAACATCTCAAGACATCAGTCAGGAAGTTAAAGCTTGGTCGCAAATGGGTCTTCCAAATGGACAATGACCCCAAGCATACTTCCAAAGTTGTGGCAAAATGGCTTAAGGACAACAAAGTCAAGGTATTGGAGTGGCCTTCACAAAGCCCTGACCTCAATCCTATAGAACATTTGTGGGCAGAACTGAAAAAGCATGTGCGAGCAAGGAGGCCTACAAACCTGACTCAGTTACACCAGCTCTGTCAGGAGGAATGGGCCAAAATTCACCCAATTTATTGTGGGAAGCTTGTGGAAGGCTATCCGAAAACGTTTGACCCAAGTTAAACAATTTAAAGGCAATGCTACCAAATACTAATTGAGTGTATGTAAACTTCTGACCCACTGGGAATGTGATGAAAGAAATAATAAATAAAAGCAGAAAACTCTCTACTATTATTCTGACATTACACATTCTTAAAATAAGTGGTGATCCTAACTGACCTAAAACAGGGAATTTTTACTAGGATTAAATGTCAGAAACTGTGAAAAACTGAGTTTAAATGTATTTGGCTAAGGTGTATGTAAACTTCTGACTTCAACTGTATTTAGATCAAGTACAATACCGCATAACATGTATTTATACATCACTTTACAGAATTGAAGACCAATGTTATGGATATGGCTTTAAGAACGTAGTTAACTTGCAGTGCCGTAAAGCCTGAAGGGCTACTATTCATGCCTATGATATCCATGATCAGATCCAAGTACAACAGATACAGCGAAGTAATAGCCCATTTTACCACAGAACTAATATGTGATCAGAAGCTGTGGTCTCCAGCACTTACCTGCCACAGTATCCGGTGCTCCCTTTCCACTCAGGGATCAGGTCATCTCTCTCCCTGTGGATGTGCTGACTTGTCCAGTGTGTGTCCACAGTAGAACTCTCATTTTACACAAACTCCTTTGGGCCATGGTAATCTAGTAATCTTAATCTCACTCGAGATTGTCTGATTGGCTGTGTGGATGTGTATGGACGTGCCCGTGAGAGACAGAGAGGAAGAGAAAGTGACAGGAATAGGAGATAGTGTGTGAGGGGAGGGGAGGGGTAGGTGAAAGTGTTTTGTTGCAAATACAATTACACCATGAGGATAAAGAAGATAAGTTCCTTTCCTGAGGATGGCTCACCCCTCACAGTTTTGGGGGATTTCAACCTCCCTACGTCTACATTTGACTCATTTCTCTCTGCCTCCTTCTTTCCACTCCTCTCCTCTTTTGACCTCACCCTCTCACCGTCCCCCCCTACTCACAAGGCAGGCAATACGCTTGACCTCATCTTTACTAGATGCTGCTCTTCTACTAATCTCACTGCAACTCCCCTCCATGTCTCCGACCACTACTTTGTTTCCTTTTCTCTCTCGCTCTCCTCCAACACTACTCACTCTGCCCCTACACAGATGGTAATGCGCCGCCGCAACCTTCGCTCTCTCTCTCCCACTACTCTCTCCTCTTCCATCCTATCATCTCTTCCCTCTGCTCAATCCTTCTCCCTCCAATCTCCTGATTCTGCCTCCTCAACCCTCCTCTCCTCCCTTTCTGCATCCTTTGACTCTCTGTGTCCCCTATCCTCCCGGCCGGCTCGGTCCTCCCCTCCAGCTCCGTGGCTTGATGACTCATTGCGAGCTCACAGAACAGAGCTCCGGGCAGCGGAGCGGAAATGGAAGAAAACTAAACTCCCTGCCGACCTAGCATCTTTTCACTCCCTCCTCTCTACATTTTCTTCATCTGTTTCTGCTGCTAAGGCCACTTTCTACCACTCTAAATTCCAAGCATCTGCCTCTAACCCTAGGAAGCTCTTTGCCACATTCTCCTCCCTGCTGAATCCCCCCCCCCCCCCCCCCCCCTCCTCTCTCTCTGTGGATGACTTTGTCAACCACTTTGAAAAGAAGGTTGACGACATCCGATCCTCGTTTGTTAAGTCTAATGACACTGCTGGTCCTACTCACACTGCCCTACCCTATGCTTTGACTTCTTTCTCCCCTCTCTCTCCAGATAAAATCCTGCGACTTGTGACTGCAGGCCGCCCAACAACCTGCCCGCTTGACCCCATCCCCTCCTCTCTTCTCCAGACCATCTCCGGTGACCTTCTCCCCTACCTCACCTCGCTGATCAACTCATCCTTGACCGCTGGCTATGTCCCTTCCGTCTTCAAGAGAGCGAGAGTTGCACCCCTTCTCAAAAAACCAACACTCGATCCCACTGATGTCAACAACTACAGACCAGTATCCCTTCTTTCTTTTCTTTCCAAAACTATTGAGCGTGCCGTCTTTAGCCAACTCTCTTGCTATCTCTCTCAGAATGACCTTCTTGATCCAAACCAGTCAGGTTTCAGGACTGGTCATTCAACTGAGACTGCTCTTCTCTGTGTCACGGAGGCTCTCCGCACTGCTAAAGCTAACTCTCTCTCCTCTGCTCTTGTCCTTCTAGACCTGTCTGCTGCCTTTGATACTGTGAACCATCAGATCCTCCTCTCCACCCTCTCCGAGCTGGGCATCTCCGGCGCGGCTCACTCCTGGATTGCGTCCTACCTGACCGGTCGCTCCTACCAAGTGGCGTGGCGAGAAGCTGTCTCCGCACCACGTGCTCTCACCACTGGTGTCCCCCAGGGCTCAGTTCTAGGCCCTCTCCTATTCTCCCTATACACCAAGTCACTTGGCTCTGTCATATCCTCACATGGCCTCTCCTATCATTGCTACGCTGACGATACACAACTAATCTTCTCCTTTCCCCCTTCTGATAACCAGGTGGCGAATCGCATCTCTGCATGTCTGGCAGACATATCAGTATGGATGACGGATCACCACCTCAAGCTGAACCCTGGCAAGACGGAGCTGCTCTTCCTCCCGGAGAAGGACTGCCCGTTCCATGATCTCGCCATCACGGTTGACAACTCCGTTGTGTCCTCCTCCCAGAGTGCGAAGAGCCTTGGCGTGACCCTGGACAACACCCTGTCGTTCTCCGCTAACATCAAGGCGGTGACCCGATCCTGCAGGTTCATGCTCTACAACATTCGGAGAGTACGACCCTGCCTTACACAGGAAGCGGCACAGGTCCTAATCCAGGCACTTGTCATCTCCCGTCTGGATTACTGCAACTCGCTGTTGGCTGGCCTCCCTGCCTGTGCCATTAAACCCCTACAACTCATCCAGAATGCCGCAGCCCGTCTGGTGTTCAACCTTCCCAAGTTCTCTCACGTCACCCCCCTCCTCCGCACACTCCACTGGCTTCCAGTTGAAGCTCGCATCCGTTACAAGACCATGGTGCTTGCCTATGGAGCAGTGAGGGGAACGGCACCTCCGTACCTTCAGCCTCTGATCAGTCCCTACACCCAAACGAGGGCATTGCGTTCATCCACCTCTGGCCTGCTGGCTCCCCTTCCTCTGCGGAAGCATAGTTCCCGCTCAGCCCAGTCAAAACTGTTCGCTGCTCTGGCACCCCAATGGTGGAACAAGCTCCCTCACGACGCCAGGACAGCGGAGTCACTCACCACCTTCCGGAGACATTTGAAACCCCACCTCTTTAAGGAATACCTGGGATAGGATAAAGTAATCCTTCTACCCCCCCCCCCCCAAAAAAAAATAAAAAATAAAAAAATAAAAAATTGTAAAGTGGTTATCCCACTGGCTATAGGGTAAATGCACCAATTTGTAAGTCGCTCTGGATAAGAGCGTCTGCTAAATGACGTAAATGTGCCCTTGAGCAAGGCACTTAACCCTAATTGCTCCTGTAAGTCGCTCTGGATAAGAGCGTCTGCTAAATGACTAAAATGTAAATGTAAAATGTAATTGTATTAAGGTATTTGGAGCTTTTGATTCTCAGTGTTAACTGTTTCTTGGCCCATTTACTTTCCCCCCTGAAGCATACATAGTGTCACCAAAGCACTAGAGGGTAGCACAATCTTTAGTCACTTGATCACATTAAGGCATATTATCAAACAATCTGACTCATTTTCAGTATTTTCTTATGAGTTTAATATTGTCCTCTTTGATATTGTGGGAATAACACTTGTCATCACAAACTGATTTAGCCTTGATGTGTTGCCTTACTTGGCCTCAACCTGTTTCAGGAATGGAGACTCACAGACCCAGAGGAGGGCTCACTGGACACAATACTAGAAGCACACACATACATACACACACTGCCCTGTAAACCCCAACTTTTCTTATGTTATTTTTTTTCATAATCTCTGCCACTATATGAGTTTACAAGTGACCTTGTTTCCCTTGCTTCAGTGAAGGCTCCGTTTAACAAAAATAATAGCAGAGCACTGTGTAGTGTAAATGGAATAGGCTATTAATATTTTAGTATTTGAGAAAATAAAAAAATATTTGTCCGTCCAGACACACACACACACACACACACACACACACACACACACACACACACACACACACACACAGGACCCATGGCCAATACAACTCTTTGTGGTGCTGAAGTCAGTCAGATTTGTGCAGGTGGCAGAAGGTACATATAAATCCTATAGGCCTGATTAGAGGGGATTATTAGGAGGGTCAGGGGGCTTGGCCAGCGGACTCACTCTGATGCTGATGCAGGCGGGTGTCTGTCTACTCCTTCTGTGCCACTACGGCTTGCGTCTCTTCAGGCCAAGTCTTAGGATGTCTGTCAATGAAGAGCAAAACAAACCCCTAAACAGAGATGGGAGACAGATCAGATGGACACTGTGAATGCTGCTAAGAGAAGGTAGGTCCCACTGAATGCTGCTGTTCAGATCTTTTGGTCTATGGTCTTCAATGTAATGTGTTTTTGTTGAATTTTCTAGTCTAGTCTTTTAGTTTATTCCATTATATTTCTTCAGATTAAATGCTTAGCAAATTATTGTGGTAATGCACACTGTCTTGTGTTGATGGTTGGTTCAGCAGAGGTGACATAGTCCAGAGGTGTGCATTATCCAATTTGGTCATTTTTTATATTTGTGTAAAAGCTACTGTATGAGAAAATGTTCATGCAGTGATTCAGATCATATTCATTATTATGTTTGATCATACCTCATGGTGCAGGACTGCCAACACTTATAAATAGGAGACCCCTACTCAAGAAATTGATTATAATCACTGAACTAAGCTGCTTATGTGAGGGCATGTGGAAACCTCCCATCCACAACCCTGGCCCCTCCCTTTATCCCTCCATAGCCCCTTGTGCCTCTTACTCCTTCCCCTACCTCTATCCTCTCCCCTATCCAGCATCCTACCAGGATATTGGATAAAACTAATCAAACAAATCTAAGATGGCCGTGCTGAAAGTCAAATTCACCAAGACCAACAGGGACAAGCTTGCCCAGGTGCTGTGGATCCTCAACTGGGTTTCCGTGGTGACGGGGATGATTCTGTTTAGCCTGGGGCTCTTCCTAAAGGTGGAGATCAACAAGCGCTGGGAGCTTATGGCAGAGAGGGACCTCCACTACGTCCCCAACATGCTCATCGCCACAGGCCTCATCGCCTGTGGCATCAATTTCCTGGGCGGGAAGATCTGCTACGACTGTGCGGACACCACTAAGTTCCTGCGTTGGAAGCTACTGATGCTGCCCTACATCATCTGCACCTTCTTCTTCACCTTCTGCATCCTGGTGGGGGCTCTCATGTGCTACGGCATGCGCAGTGAGCTGGAGGAGGCTCTGGACCTGGGTCTGCAGGACGCCATGCGCTATTATAAGGACACGGACACACCAGGCCGCTGCTTCCTGAAGCGCACTGTGGACCTGCTGCAGATCCAGTTCCAGTGCTGCGGCAACTTCGGCTTCAGAGACTGGTTCCAGATCCAGTGGATCAGCAACCGCTACCTGGACATGTCCCGCAGGGAGGTTGTGGAGTAAGTACAGACTAGAATAGTAATACCCTACCTGCCAGATCAGACACAGAGCTGAGCTCTGGGCCCATGTATACTATGATCTTAGGGTTCTTGAATTTTTGAGGCTCTAGATGCCCCAAGTGATCAACCCTCTGTCTCGGTCTCTCCCTTTTCCCTCTCTACGTCTCCAGCCGGCTGAGGAGTAACGTGGAAGGGAAATACCTGATGGACGGGGTTCCCTTCAGCTGCTGTAACATTAACTCACCACGGCCCTGCATCCAGCACCAGATCACCAACAGCTCAGCCCACTTCAACTATGAATACCAGACAGAGGAGCTCAACTTGTGGAGGAAAGGCTGCCGCCAGGCCCTGCTGGAGTACTACACCCACATCATGCAGTCCATCGGCCTCACCTTCCTCATCATCTGGCTGTTTGAGGTAGGCATATGGGTGTCCTTACAAACAGACTGATGTGGTTTGAATAGAAGTAAGCATGGTGCCTGGGACTTTTATCTGACATAACAACCACTCCCGTTATTTAGACTCAGCAAACCACTAATCATAAATAACTCAAGCTACATTGCAGTATTCTGTCTATGACACCTTGTCCTTGCAGGGAAGTGATCAGGGCTTCTGGTCTAACTCCCATGCCCTTTATCCTCCCTTAGCGTGATAATAGTATTGTTCATTCACTTTGCATGCTCCCTAATCCCACACTAAATCTCTTTTGTGACATTGGCTCCGGGTTATCCATGCTCAGCTTTGTGTGGACACACCCTTTGTCCTCTACTGGGTCACATGGAACTGTCCCAAAATACACATCCCAAACCTCAGCTACTTCTGGGACGCACATTTTTACTCTGGTCCACTATAAATGATAAACAAAAGTTATATTACATAGTCTAGGGATTTCCTCAGTAATGTTTGTTTCCTGTTGTAGCTGTCGGTGCTGACGGGGGTGCGTTACCTCCAGACATCCCTGGAGAACGTGCTGAGACAGGGAGACCCAGACTCAGAGTCCGACGGCTGGCTCCTGGAGAACAGCTTTGTGGAGACAGCCAGATCCAACTTCAACATCATAAAGAGCTTGGGGAAGTGCAACCAGATTGACACAGCCAACAATGGCGACCCCAACATCGATGTCCCCTCCACAGCCTACTATGGACCAGACAACCTGCCCCCAAAACAGATACCTGTGGCCAGTTGACCCCTGCTCAGACACTTACCTTAAATAGTCCACTCCACAGAGCCCTCAAAAGGTGAAGGGACCAGGCACAGTTTGTCTAAAGGACAGGAACTGCCCTTCAAGCAATAAAACTACATAAAAGCTTGCCTGAAAGAAACATGGAATTGTGGCGGCATAGGACTGAGCAATGTGGCAAACCGAGCAATGTTCGTGAAAGGGAGAACTGCCATTACAGGGGGGAGTTAGTGATATGACAGTATGCAAATGTGTTTGCAAAAGAGACATCCCATAGCAGATTGGTACAGAACACTATCATAATATATAACATGGAAATGTATAACAGAGATTGTTTAGCAAGAGCATACAAACAAAATCAATGTGTCATCAATTATATGCCATCATCACCTTGTTACCTTCTTTTCATATACCCATAATCAAATTAATTTAAGAGTGAAAGCCAAACTGCGTTATTCTGCCTTCAACTTCATTGACAAGCGTCTACAGAACTGCATTTAGGTCAAACATATTATTCTCTCAATAGATCTAGAGACTTTTCAACTGAAATAGCACAGATATAAAATTGTCATTTTGCACATAAAACAAAGCAAACAGTCAGTCACTTCCCAACTTCCTAACTACATTTAATGTGCCTCAGCCTGAACGTAATGATAGGGACATTGGTCTAGATGAAAATATGCAGACCTTTTCCCACAGTAATGGGACAAGCTTGTAGAAAAACATGGCAATTAAATGTGTACTGAGTCTTGATAAAATACCTATATAGGCTTTTATAAATATTCACTCTAGTTTTCTACAGCTATAGACCAATGCAACTCAGCATGTCTTACTCACTGTTATAACCAAGCCTTCAAGAAATCTTACAAATATGACAACAGGGGAAGGATGCATGTGAGTTAGAGGCGTTTGTGGGATAGACAGATGGAAATCCTAAGGGAAAGAGTAAATATCAGCTTATAAATGCTAAATCATTTAGGAACTTATACAGTTATCAAGGTTTTGCTGATAGTTGCTCACTGGATTTGTTCAGTAGCAGATTGTTTCTCTCAAGAGTGTTAATGACTGGTAAGACACATTCTGTAGGAGAAATGTGAAGACCAAGCACACAAGTGTTGACACTTAAAATAAATATCACTGCTGCCATTTTTCTACTGTACTCAGAAATAAAACACCAAGTCTTTCTTTTCTTTCCATGAGATGTGATGAACTTGTACAATAAAGTAGTCCTATGCAGCAAGTTTGTATGCATATTAGTGAGTGACGACCAAGATTGAGATTTCTAAGCAATAGCAGAATTGTCCTAAGGACCCCCACTGCCTCTGATTACCCCTAATCTGTGTCCGAATGGGATTTCACATTTACATCTCACCTCCAATCGGTGGATACACACATCCTATTATAGGCAGACACACACAAGACTACTTAAGGCTCTCAGTCTAAACTACTGAGCACTACAGATACTAACAATCAACACAATATGCTATCTTGAATGAGGTATGAAAGAGGCAGCTACCTTATTTCAGTCTTTAAGCAAAACTATACAGGTTCTCTGTCAGCCTTGATTCGCTGTGGAATGAAACAGTGAGAGGAAAGTCATTTTAGCAAGTCTGATATATTATACAGCACAGGTGCTGAGCAACGATCAACAGTATTATAGCTGCAGTATAAATACTTCCAACAGTCAAGTGCTGCCAGGAAGAGTAGTTATTAGAGCTTAGTAGTAAAGTGCTCATTATACATTTAGGTAATTATTGTAGGAAACATGAGTTAAGGGCACTGAATAATAGGGAAATGGGATTTGATGTCAATGTGCAAGTCAATGACCTGACGGTGTTGATAAGACATAAGTACTTTTTTTTTGGGATCAACTCTCCTTTCAGACACTAAAGAGTAAGTGGAAACTGATGAACAATCACAGTATTTCTGTTCTTATTCCCAGTCAGACACAGAGGGCACAATAACTCATCTAGACAATAGTATCTTTATTCAGACAGCCTGGTTATCATCCAGCAATGCCAAGCAATGCAAATGCGGAAAAACAAAACCATACAGTATATGCACAAAACAACTTCATTTTCCTGAAAAGTTTGATGTACAAATATCAAGTGTATTATTATAGCCATGATTATTTTTCATGTATTCTCCCATAAAATATACATAATTGTCTTAAATACTAATGTAGTAGTGATGTGCTCTTATTTACTTGTTAGATTAGTCATGTGTACAGAATATATTTAGTGTTGCTGGTTTGAAGCTTTTTGTCCCAGTTAGCTACAGTATGATCTATTTGAATATCATTTTCACAGTTAAGACAGAAAAGCATCTAATGACTGTATCAGGTTGGCAAAATAGGGAATTTCAGCAAAGACTGAAGATATCTTCTGATGCCATGTATAGAAGACTTCATGTACATGAATTGAAAATGTTTTGTCATTATAATTCTAAAGTGCTTTTAGACATACATTGAATTGCTACTATATTTGATAATGTTTTCAGAGGCAAATTAAACAAGTATTATGTGCACCAAGAGCCAATGTTCAAAAGCATTCAGATTACAAGCAGCAATGTTCACAGTAAAATAGTGAACATTTGAACATGTTTAACCACATGCCCACCCTGTCCCCACAGGAGCACTTGGCCCCAACCCACCTGAGGAACATGCCCACTCCGGCCCCACAGGTGGCAGCGTGAGCGGTGCAGGCGCCCACCTTCTCCTCGTCCAGCTGGTTCTGACAGCAGGTGCTCTGGGAGCACAGGATGGTCCCACAGAACAGGCACAGGGTGGGGTGCTTCCTCTCATCATCTGTGGAGTTAGGACACCTGGACACGAGGGCAGAGAGAGAGAGAGGACTCAGTCTCCACTGGAACACACCAACTATCCCATCATTCAGTTTATGATAATCCAAGTCAGTGGTGTCTACTTACTGAAAGTGACTGGCTTGATTGAGGAGCGCGCTGTAATCCGCAGGAAGCTCAATTAACCGATTCCTTTTCCTGGGATACCTGCAATATTCATGTTATCAAAGATTCAGTTATTCATACTGGATAAAAGGGAAGAATGGAATAAAATCCCAAATATTTTCCATTCAGTGGCAAAGATATTTTGAGTTTACCTGATAGTCTGCATTTCCCCTTTTAGGGCTTTGGTTACAGCTGGGTGGCCTCACCATCTGAGAGACAGAGGCCATCAGTTAAATATCACATATAGTACAATTAGCTACCACACTAGAAATCTGATAATAAGAACATCAGTTAAAGATGTATAAATGCCCCATTCATTCCAATGTACTTTGGTTGTGACTAACAGGTTATTGGGATAACCTCTGTAATCAAGGAGAGACAGTTCCATGGTGCTCTTGGAAGAGCTGGAACACATTGGTGGGTAATGCCAGATAAATACACAGCGCCTCCACCTGGCCTTGAGAGGTAACTGCAGCAGAGACAGCATAAGTGGTTCAGTAAAACCCTCAAAGAAACATGTATTCAATCCCCATACACACCACAACAGTCAGAGCCCTGAGCTACCTACCTGTAGTACTGGAGAGCTCCTCTGGAGGGGGCACCCCTGTAACACAATTGAAGAAGAGGGCAGCGCAGCGCAGGAAGGGCGTGACCCCTCTCCTCATCCTGTCTGCCACAGAGCTCCCAGACACTTCTGACAGCCTGGACCTTCATCTTGGACAGGAGGTGGAACACAGATTTGCCAGGCTCTGAGCCGATCTCTGAGAGAGTAGAGAAACAGAAAATGTCATATACCAAGACTCAATACAAAACCATCCAAGTGATCAATATTTGCAACCAAAAAGTAATATCTAGCACACTCACTGCGAGCCTTGAGGCTGAAGTCAAAGGTGACCCCCTCCACAGGGCTGGCTCCCAGCTGCGTCTTCTCCTCCAACAGCCCCTGGCCTATAAGGTGCAGGGCCTGAGGGGAGCACACACTTTTACAGGTGGTTCATATAAAAAGGAGAGGAGGGGGACACACACACACAGAGCGACAGAGTGAGAGACAGAGTGAGAGACAGAGTGAGAGAGAGAGAGAGTGAGAGAGAGACACAGAGAGAGAGAAAGGTACCCTCTGGATCATGGCCTCTGTCCAGTAGGTGGCCCGGTCCTCCACAGCTCTCTGCAGGACTTGTCTGAGGATGTGGACGAGGATGTCACAGCAGAGCAGACGCACTATGCTGGAGAAGGCTGGGCAAAAAGGAGGGGGGACGGGGGGACGCAGGGCTGGGCATGGACAGAGACAGGGAGAGACCGTGTTGAATCATAAGTAAATAGGGAATCACCTACAGGGATTGGCTCATAATAACACTGTGTTCCATTCTTTTAAAGTACGATGATCAGTTCCATCTCACCTTTGTCACTGCCCTCCTGAGTTCTTCTCTTCTTCTGAGCATCTTCTGCCTGGAGCACAGAGAGGTGAGGTCACAAGCTTACACATTTGCAAATGCCAGCAGCCAAGGCAAAAAACTGCTTTGGAAAAACAAATATAATGTGTGTGTACAATCGTACCTTGCTATGCTGAGATTTAGAATAGTGAATTCTGACAGGCACTCCTTTTTCACTTCATACAAGCCGTGGCCTGACACACCTGGCTTCCTAAATAGGAGGATCAACAAGTCAGTGAAAAAGCTCCTCAAACTTAATTATCTTTTGAAAAAAATGTTATTATTTGTATCATTATGGTCAAGATGACCTTAGTGTTACACTTACTTGAAGGTGGCCACTTTTGGGATGACCGTTTCCAGGTCAGTTTCATGGATCTCCTACAAACAAACAAAGACAGTACATTGTTGCAGTATAAAAGGGTGGAAGGAGTGGTAACAGTATTGGTGCTTTAGAGGTGTAGTATAGGTCCACGTTCTCACGTTCTCCGGCAGGCCCTTGACCAGGCTGCTATGAGCCATGGGCTCGATGCACAGCAGATGGATCACTTCCCTCATCGTCACATCCTCTTTGGTCACCTGACTGATCCCTGGGACATCAAATCAAATCAAATTTTATTGGTCACATGCGCCGAATACAACAGGTGCAGACATTACAGTGAAATGCTTACTTACAGCCCTTAACCAACAGTGCATTTATTTTAAACAAAAAAAGTAAAAATAAAACAACAATAACAAAAAAAAGTGTTGAGAAAAAAAAGAGCAGAAGTAAAATAAAGTGACAGTAGGGAGGCTATATATACAGGGGGGTACCGTTGCAGAGTCAATGTGCGGGGCACCGGCTAGTTGAGGTAGTTGAGGTAATATGTACATGTGGGTAGAGTTAAAGTGACTATGCATAAATACTTAACAGAGTAGCAGCAGCGTAAAAAGGATGGGGTGGGGGGGCAGTGCAAATAGTCCGGGTAGCCATGATTAGCTGTTCAGGAGTCTTATGGCTTGGGGGTAGAAGCTGTTGAGAAGTATTTTGGACCTAGACTTGGCACTCCGGTACCGCTTGCCGTGCGACATACCGCTCCCCTGGGGACATGACATACAGAATGAGACCCCCTCCTCTCGGTTAGAGGTGCGAGCCAGCAACCGGAGGATTGCCTGTTCAAATCCGAACTGGTGGGAAGTGAGCTATCAAATCCTAGATGCCATTGCCTGCCGTTGTTCCTTTGAGCAAGGCACTTAACCCCCACAACAACAGCTCCCCGGGCACGCAGTGCGGCAGCCTCCCGCATCTCTCCAAAACCTGTATATGTATGTGTGTCTTTCGGATGGGTTGGGTTTAAAGCAGAAGTCAAATTTCGGTTGGACCTTGTGTGCAATTGACTCAACATAATCGATAACTGCTATATCATCTAGCCAACGTGATGTCACTATACACAGTCAACTTACTAACTATACACTAGGAGTTCTCCAGCACGGGAGAGACATTTACTTTAGTAGAGATGTTGTTTAGAATGCAGCTTAGGGATGTACCAACAATGATGATGAGGTAGAACATCTCTTCTGTTAACCGATTCCACTGTTTCAGCAGTTCCTGTACAGAAGGATTGGTATTTTATTAACCATTTGTACCTAAATGTAATAATTATTTATTTGAACCAATAGTCATTGGTCTCTCTTACTTGGTCTTTGCTTGAGTGGCTTCCATTGAACACATCAAAGAGCTCAAATCTTTGCAAGATCAGCATGATGAAGTGGCTGGGGTCCATTTTGGAAGCAGCAATCTGAAAAAAGTTTTGAGAGGAGACTTAAATCATGTATTGGTAGTCAGGAGACTCCATAGAATAAAAAGCAGGTGAGTGCAGGACAATGTTGCTGCTGTTAAACACTAACCTGTAGCACTAACCTGTAGTCCTCCTGAGTGGCGCAGTGGTCTAAGGCACTGCATCGCTGTGCCACTAGAGATCCTGGTTCGAATCCAGGCTCTGTCGCAGCTGGCCGGGAGACCCGTGGGGCGGTGCACAATTGGCCCAGCGTCGTCCAGGGTAGGGGAGGGAATGGCCGGCAGGGATGTAGCTCAGTTGGTAGAGCATGGCATTTGCAATGCCAGGGTTGTGGGTTCGATTCCAGTATAAAAAAAAAATATATATATATATAAATAAATATGTAAGTCGCTCTGGATAAGAGTGTCTGCTAAATGACTGTAATGTAAATGATGACATCCTTGTCAAACATCTCATCCCTGCATTTTACATCCTGATAATAGTACACCTGCAAATTACAAATAACCATACACTGAAACACTAACTGACATGACAGCGATCACAAAATGTGAAATCAATCCCTGAAAAGTTATGGGTTTAGCAACAGTTGACGCCACAAGCCCATCAAAACCATCCCGCCTATCACCTGGCTGACGAGCGAGAGGCCGTTCCTGCGCCACATCTCAGCTGAGACCTGGGCAGCCAGCACCACACAGCACAGGGGGTGCTCCGCAAACCAGGTGAAGTCACAGCTCTCCTGTAACACAGACGGCCCAACAGCAGTTGGAAGAAGATAGTCTGCAGTGCACAAGCAAAACAACACAGCACATGCTGACTGACGATACGAAGCTGATTCTTACTGACTTACTACAGATCAAACACAAAAAACAGACTGAATGACTTAAAGTGAGTTTTCACTTGTCACAGATACTTACTGGATCCACATATTCGTGGAGGCATTTGACTGCCCCTGTACTACACAGCTGTACATACAGGCCTAGAGAGCATAAGGAACAGGCTGACAGCATAAGCAACATGCATGCTGTTTCACCAACATAACACCATCTTAATTTCCACAACTACTGTCCCAACACATAGCGCAATGTCCAAATTGGACAGTATGGTTCTCCTTACCACCGAGCGCCCTGGAGATGGGCAGGTGTATGCTGACAGGCTCCTGGGACACCTTGTAGGGAAGTACATGGAGGATGTGTTTGCACATGTAGTAGTCTATGGACTCGCTGTGAAAGGGTTGGTTATTGCAGCGCATCAGCGCCCTGTGGCACTCCTTGAAGGAGGAGAACTGTCTCCTGAAGGCATGGGCAGATATCCCAGTCAAGTACATAGCAACATACACTTCCACATTTAGCCATTCAGCCCAGTCAAAGCTATTCGCTGCTCTGGCACCCCAATGGTGGAACAAGCTCCCCCACGACGCCAGGACAGCGGAGTCACTGACCACCTTCCGGAGACACTTGAAACCCTACCTCTTTAAGGAATACCTGGAATAGTATAACAGTAATCCTTCTACCCCCCCCCCCCCCCCCCCCCCCCCATAAAGAAAATACATTTAAAAAGGGTGGTTGTTCCACTGGCTATCCTAAGTTGAATGCACCAATTTGTAAGTCGCTCTGGATAAGAGCGTCTGCTAAATGACTTAAATGTAAAATTAGAGATTTTGAGGTTGTTGGGGATTTTTTTTTTAAGCATTGCGTGAGGACTTACATCAGATGAACACCAGTCATGGAACATGACAAGGATGTGTCGTAGCTGTCTCTGGATAGAAAACCCAGCCTCCCATTCAGGCTCGATCTCGATGTGCTGACCAAACTGCCTCTTCACCTCCTCCATACCCTACCAAAAAACATTGGGATATAACACATATCTGGTGATATTCCATGATGGAGGCAAAGACTGCAAGTCATTACAAAAGCCCTAATGCCAGACAGTTACCCCAGAGTGTAAAGCCACTGAGTAGAGATCTTTCCCTTTCAAGACTATTCAACACGTATCTAGATACAGTGCCTATAGAAAGTCTACACCCCCTTGAACCTTTTTCACATTTTGTTGCATTACAAAGTGGGATTGAAAAATATATTTAATTTGGGTGGGGGTTTGGGGGGAGCGGGGTTTCACAAAATACTCCATAATGTCAAAGTGAAAAGAAAATGCTTTTTATTTTATTTGTTTTAATGAATAAAACATTTATAACTCAAATATAGTTGTTGAATAAGTATTCACCCCCTTTGTTTAGGCAAGCCTCAAATAGTTCAGAAGTCAAATTTGGCTTAACAAATCACACAAGTTAAATGGATTCACTCTGTGTGAAATAATAGGGGTTGACATGATTTTGAATGACTACTCCTTCCTCTGTCCCCATACATACATCTGTAAGGTCCCTGAGCCAAGTACTGAGTTTCAATGACAGATTCAACTACAAAGACCAGGGAGCTTTTCAAAAGCCTCATAAAGAAGGGAAGTGACTGGTAGATGGGCATGGTCAAGTTAATAATTATGCTGTGGATGATGTATTAAACCACCCAGACACATCAATGATGCAGTTGTCCTTCTGAACTGAGCTGGAGGACAGGAAGGAAACTGCTTAGGGATGTCACCATGAGGCCACTGGTGTTTTAAAACAGCTACAGAGTTCAATGGCTGTGATGGAGAAAACTGAGGATGGATCAACAACATTGTAGTGACTCCACAATAATGACAGAAATTACTGAGTGAAAAGAAGAACAAAAATATACAGAATTAAAATATTCCAAAACATGCATATGTATGCAACAAGGCACTAAAGTAATACTGCAAAAACACAGGGCAAGAAATACACTTTTTGGCCTAAATGCAAAGCCTTGTGTTTGGGGCAAATCCACCACAACACATCACTGAGTAACTGCCTGCCTCCGTATTTTCAAGCATGGTGGTGGCTGCATCATGGTATGGGTATGCTTGACATCAGCAAACACTGGGGAGTTTTTCAGGATGAAAAGAAACGGGATGGAGCTAAGCACAGGCAAAATGTGAGGAAAACCTGCTTCAGTCTGCTTTACACCAGACACAGAGAGGAATTCACCTTTCAGCAGGACAATAACCTACAACACAAAGCCAAATCTTAGTGCTCAGTGCTTATTACTTTTTGAGGTCGGTTCAGTTTGTTTGATCATTAAAAAAAAATATATATATATATTTGTTGTTTTGTTTTTTAAACATTAAAAGCACTATGCATTATATGGGTTGAATGCTGTAACACAGAATAAAACAATTAATTTAAAAAAGTCCCACGATGGTAGTGACTGCCCATTACTGTTGATCACTTACATAACCATCATTTATTTACATTCCTTTACTTTAATAAAATATTACATTTGTTTTATATGACTATTATTTCATTCCAAGTCATCATCTCATCTCTATAGAGCTGCTGCCTATGCTGTCTGACAAAATCACTATTTTGTAGTTCTAGTTTTATGACTGCTGAATACCAACTAACAAATCACTTAGATAATGTATTTTCAGGTAGAGATACTTCGCGAAGCAACAGCTGCTCTCTATATCACCTCACGATTATGCATTCTTCTGTCTTTTCTGTAGCAGGCGTAAAAGAAACAGACCGGACAAGTAGATGTGCAATGGATTATGGTCATTGTAATTAATTACCACATTTTATGCGCTAAACTGTGTAGAATATTGGCCTGTTGGAAACTACAACTCCCTATTACATCGCACAGTTGAGGCTGAGTCTGATTTATCTCTAGAGAAACTGTGCAATGTGCGCGTTGCGCTCACAGAAAAAATACTGAACGAAATGGAATTCAAATAATTGAACCAATGTTGGTCAATTAGTCCTTTAAAAAATGAAAAATTATAGGAATTTCGGTTAATCGCTCAGCACTACCAAATCTACAGTGGAGTTGCTTACCCAGAAGACAGTGAATGCTCCTGAGTGGCCAAGTTACAGTTTTGCCACATTTTTGTCAAGACTTGAATATTCCTATCTAGCCATGATCCCCAACACCTTGACAGAGCTTGAAGAAGTTTGAAAATAATACATGTGCAAATATTGCATAATACAGGTGTGCAAAGCTCTTATGAGATTTACCCAAGAAAACTCAAAGCTGTAAATGCTGCCAAAGGTGTTTTTCTAACATATATTGACTCAGGGTGGTGAATACTTATCTAATCAAGTTATATTAGTGTTTTAATTCTTCTTCCACTTTGACAGAGTATTTTGTGTAGATCGTTGACAAAAAATGACAATTAAATTCATTTTAATCTCACTTTTAACAATAAAATGTGATGAAATCCAAGGGGGGTGTAGACTTTCTATAGGCACTGTACATGGGCTCCGATACCATACAGAAACGCTACTTTTATTTTGAAACGTTTCGGTGCAATTCAGTTTGATTAGAGAACGAATGTTTGTAATGCGGTGATTCGTAACGTTTGAATCGATTTTCTGACCGATGCATGCTACATTTGGATCGGTTTGGGGTATGCCGACCGATGCACTTGTATGTTAAACATTTGAATCGGGGACCGATGCTCATTGGTGAATCGTTACATCCCTACGACTGAGTGTACCTGCATGCAGTTGAGGAGCCCCAGGAAGACACTGTACCCCTCCAGGAACTGGGTTCTTAGCTCCTCAGTCCACACCGAGGGCTTGCTGATCAGAATGTAACTGTGGAAGAAGGACACATTCATAATATAGCTGCAAGCAGCAATGAATGGGGTTCACAGGATGACAGAAAGGACAAGATCAGTTGTATAACAAAGCAAGCACTCTATTATGTAGGAACTATCATCCTTTATATGCAATCAGTGAAAGCATTACCATGTTTATGTTTCAATACCACAAGGATGACGCATGTGAAGTTTAGTCTAATGCTGTAAATTGGTAGTGTGGCCGACTTTGAATGCAGCAACTTATCATTCTCAAGTTCATTACAGCCTAATTCACTGAGTGTACAAAAAGTTAGGAACATGACAGACTGACCAGGTGAAAGCTATGACCTGTTAAATCCACTTAAATCAGTGTAGAAGAAGGAGAGGAGACAGGTTAAATAAGGATTTTTAAGCATTGAGAAAATCTAGACATCGATTGTGTATGTGTGCCATTCAGAGGGTGAATGGGCAAGACAAAATATTTAAGTGCCTTTGAACGGGGTATGGTAGTAGGTGCCAGGCGCACCGGTTTGAGTGTGTCAAGAACTGCAATGCCATTTGGATTTTCACACTCAACATTTTCCCGTGTGTATCAAGAATGCTCCACCACCCAAAGGACATCCAACCAACTTGACACAACTGTGGGAAGCATTGGACTCAACATGGGCCAGCATCCCTGTGGAAAACTTTCGACATCTTGTAAAGTCCATACCCCGACGAATTGAGGCTGTTCTGGGGGGAAAAAGGGGGTGCAACTCAATATTAGGAAGGTGTTCCTAATGTTTTGTACACTCAGTGTATACCAAATCTGGAGTTAATCTGATTTAATGTTCATGAGAAGATTTTGTAAGTATTTTTTTCATTAGCATATGTGCTAACGTGCATATTTAGGTAAAGTCCGGCGATATTTAAATGCCGCAACAATTTTTTTTCAAAACCATTAGACTGATGTAATGAGTCTAAATATAAAATCTGGAGTGAATCTGACATATGGTTCTTGGGGAGAAGATGATTGCAGATGATTTTGGGCATTAGTGTTACATATGCAAATAATTAGTTGTTAATAGTTTCCTTGTTTTTTGAGATATCAACACCGATAGAATAATTCAGTGTGGCTCATCTTAGGGACGTCCATGACAGCGATGACAAGTTTCAAGTTGATAGGCCACTGTGGAGTGGATTTACAGTGGTATAAATGGGCAAATAAAATCTCATTTTTAATTTGACAATAACTCAGACATCTTTTGACCAATCCCTTAGCTTTTCTCAAACTAAATTAAGACATGTACCATGGGCCTACATTTCAAATTGGTGTCATTAGGTCTTATGGTTCATGAGAAGAAGCGTTTGTGCTAATATGCATCTACTAGTATATTTTGGGTATCTTTGAACGCATCAACGTTATTTCCTCAAACTCTTTAGGGACTATTGTGATGAGACTAAAGACCAAATTAGGAGTGAATTGGACTTTTAGTCCATGAGAAGATTTTTTAAAATTATTTTAAGCATTAGCGATACATAGTCAAAGAAAGTGAATTGTTAATGGTTACCACATTTTTGAAGATATCAATGCCAATCTTAACATGTTTCATTGTGGTAATGTCTTTGATGACCCGAAAAAGTTAAGGCCAATGTGAAGTGGATTTACAAAGGATTTAAATGGACACGTAAAATCTATTCTCAGCTTTTCAGACTAAGTTAAGAGATGGACCATGGTCCAACATATAGAATTTGGTGTTATTTGCTTATGGTTCACGAGAAAACGTTTTTCAAAGGTTTTCCAAAATGTCCAAGATGGAAGAAAATCTATCCTGACGGACATTATGGGTCCTTGAGACAAATTTGTTCAGCATGAGGAAAGTCACCTACATACAAAAGTTTCAAGTCTCTACAGTCGTGGTCAAAAGTTTTGAGAATGACACAAGTATTGGTCTTCACAAAGTTCGCTGCTTCAGTGTCATGAGATATTTTTGTCAGATGTTACTATGGTATACTGAAGTATAATTACAAGCATTCCATAAGTGTCAAAGGCTTTTATTGACAATTACATTAAGTTTATGCAAAGAGTCAATATTTGCAGTGTTGACCCTTCTTTTTCAAGACCTCTGTAATCTGCCCTGGTATGCTGTCAATTAACTTCTGGGCCACATCCTGACTGATGGCAGCCCATTCTTGCATAATCAATGCTTGGAGTTTGTCAGAATTTGTGGGTTTTTGTTTGTCCACCTGCCTCTTGAGGATCGACCACAAGTTCTCAATGGGATTAAGGTCTGGGAAGTTTCCTGGCCATGGACCCAAAATGTCAATGTTTTGTTCCCAAGCCACTTAGTTATCACTTTTGCCTTATGGCAAGGTGCTCCATCATGCTGGAAAAAGGCATTGGTCGTCACCAAACTGTTCTTGGATGGTTGGGAGAAATTGCTCTCGGAGGATGTGTTGGTACCATTCTTTATTCATGGCTGTGTTCTTAGGCAAAATTGTGAGTGAGCCCACTCCCTTGGCTGAGAAGCAACCCCACACATGAATGGTCTCAGGATGCTTTACTGTTGGCATGACACAGGACTGATGGTAGCGCTCACCTTGTCTTCTCCGGACAAGGTGTTTTCCGGATGCCCCAAACAATCGGAAAGGGGATTCATCAGAGAAAATGACTTTACCCCAGTCCTCAGCAGTCCAATCCCTGTACCTTTTGCAGAATATCAGTCTGTCCCTGATGTTTTTCCTGGAGAGAAGTGGCTTCTTTGCTGCCCTTCTTGACACCAGGCCATCCTCCAAAAGTCTTCGCCTCACTGTGCGTGCAGATGCTCTCACACCTGCCTGCTGCCATTACTGAGCAAGCTCTGCACTGGTGGTGCCCCGATCCCGCAGCTGAATCAACTTTAGGAGACGGTCCTGGCGCTTGCTGGACTTTCTTGATGCCTTCTTCACAACAATTGAACCTCTCTCCTTGAAGTTCTTGATGATCCGATAAATGGTTGATTTAGGTGCAATCTTACTAGCAGCAATATCCTTGCCTGTGAAGCCATTTTTGTGTAAAGCAATGATGATGGCACGTGTTTCATTGCAGGTAACCATGGTTAACAGAGGAAGAACAATGATTTCAAGCACCACCCTCCTTTTAAAGCTTCCAGTCTGTTATTCTAACTCAATCAGCATGACAGAGTGATCTCCAGCCTTGTCCTCATCAACACTCTCACCTGTGTTAACGAGAGAATCACTGACATGATGGCAGCTGGTCCTTTTGTGGCAGGGCTGAAATGCAGTGGAACTGTTTTTGGGGGGATTAAGTTCATTTTCATGGTAAAGAGGGACTTTGCAATTAATTGCAATTCATCTGATCACTCTTCATGACATTCTGGAGTATATGCAAATTGCCATCATCAAAACTGAGGCAGCAGACTTTGTGAAAATTAGGATTTGTGTCATTCTCAAAACTTTTGACCACGACTGTAGGTGAAACGGGGCTGTGGATTTGAGGGTTTGAGTGAGACCGCTTATAACAGTGCCACCTATAAGCCAATCGGTGCCATTCTAGTTGACCAAGTTATTAATGACCTCTAGTATATGTGTGCCAAAAAAATTAAATAAAGGTTACCAAGCTGTGCTTGAGTTATTTGACCATGTCAAGAGGGGGAAGGAAATCTAAGCATAATAATAGGTTTGAACACGTAATTATAGATAAGCCTCAGGCAGCTACAACAAGAGACATATCCCTAATGTCTGAGATGAGACTGAGTAGTATGTCACACCCACCTCAGGTTGTGGAAGATCACCTGGATCCGGAAGAACTTGTTTGAGTTGTATCCCTGGAAGTGGAAAGAATGGTTGGCATCCAGCTGCTCCCAGAGCAGCTCCATGATAGTGTCAACATTTTATTTTTTACATTTTTAGTCATTTAGCAGACACTCTTATCCAGAGCGACTTACAGTTTAGTGAGTGCATACATTTTCATACTGGCCCCCCGTGGGAATCGAACCCACAACCCTGGCTATGCTCTACCAACTGAGCTACACGTGACAATCACCTTGATCACATTCCGTTCCTCAATCAGCTGCCTGGCCTGAACACAGAGAAGAGGATACAGTGGTGTAAGCTGAGCCTGGCTGACAAAGAAAAAACAATCTTCACATTACAATCGATCGCCATAGCTCTCACCAGAGTGGGTACGGTGAAGATCTGCACAGATAGAGCTGTGATGGATATGCTCCTCTCATGGTCATCAAGGATGAAGTCCTTCTGCAGTTGCTTGTAATGCTGAAAGACAGAGAGAGGGCAGCGGGGTGGGACATGTACAGTTAAGGTTAGCCACATAACTGTAATGTACATTTTGTGGATAAAAAAAAAAGCATCAGTGTACGTTTAACTTCTGACACACCTTGGTGAACTCCATGGCAAAGAGCCTCTTGTACTCAGTCTCCATCAGCAGGCTACAGAAGATCAACTCATGGATGAGCTTACGGGCTCCTGGATGAAAAAAGAGAATGGGTTTGAATGTGATGGACTGGAGGCAAAACAGGGGTGCATCTTAAAGCAGAGAAAGATTGATCTATGCTCCCAGGTCTACTTGCCTTTGTACAACCTGGCGTCGTGCAGCATGAGTCGGCAAATGAGGCTGGGCCGGTCCCCCTCTTAGCTGGGCTACAGAGCGACGTTGCAGAACACCTGCCTGAACCTCAATGAGTAGCCAATGATCTTCTGAAACCAGGTGCCCAGCCGCATGGCGAAGCTCTGGTGGGCCATGACCGCTGAGTGGAGGATCTCCACACGCAGGGGCTGCAGGGAAATGTGCTCCGAATGGGACTACAACACAGAGTACAGCAGGGGTTAGAGGTCAGGTGCTGCAGGTGAGTAGTAGAAGTTTGAATTCATAAAAGGCTATGATTTACCCGGATGAGGTCCTTGGCTTGTTGGCAAGACCGAAGCTTCCCTCGCTTCACTGCCCGGCGACCCTGCATTCAAAAGACAATTATAAATTTCAAATGCACATAATAATAACAACCAGAGTTCCACACGGTTTTATTTGTAATTGTCCTATCTAGATGCCTGAATTGAAACTAATGAAGTGTGCCAGATGGCAGAGAATGCATGTAGACAGTACCTCTTTGTCGATGAGGGCTGTGTGAGTGTGTGCCTCACTTTGCTCACACTGAACCGAGCGTTGCAGGGTGTAGATCACGTGACCGTACGATTGGTGCTCATCGTTGTACAGCACACAGTATTATGTGTCCTCCTTCACCCTATGAGAAATCACATTGAATGTCATTCTGGATTAAAAACTATAATGTAATATAGTTGGTTATCTATCATTAGTAGTACCTGGGCTGGAGCTCTGCAGCTAGCTCGTAGCTCTCCTCCTACACCAGCAAGTCCGTAACGTAGCACAGCAGAACCCGGAAGAGCTTCTGGGCACGCTCACGTAAACCAGGCTCCAACACACACTCATCCTACAGAGATTTTTTTTTTAAACATGCATTATCATTCACATATGGTAAGGTGCTGATCAGTGTTTCCTCTGCGTTCATTTAAGTGTGGCGCTGCGCCACGGCAGAATTATTGCCGCCACACCAAAATAAACATCCTATTTCTACCAAACATAGTTTCAATAAAGTTCTGTAAAGCACATTCACTTTTCTTGGTAAACAGATAATCTGCCTGGGTTCAACATAGTTCTGAAGGTTATTTAGCTCTGTGAGCCTTCAGTGTGTTGGGACCTCAGGCTGTGTGCTCTAGTGAGAGGATAAACACCTTTAACCTGACCCTCCTCTCCAGGCAGATCTTGCAAGCGCCAGAGGCTGCTGTGCTGCAAGAGTGGCCCTCTTACAAGCAACATGTGCTAGTTGTAGCATTCAAAGTATGGTATGAGTGTGACAATCTTTTGAAGTAACTTTTTCCTGTTGAACTACCACTGTTGGCTCTTCTTTAATGTTGTACATCTTTCGTTTTTCATGTATTTCAGGGGATGGACCAGCTGACGGCAATGACAAAGCTGGCCTCACAGTTAGATGAGTGGGGGCAGTCTACCCCTGCCTTAGCCAGCAGGCAGCAATCGCACTGACTATACCAGTGTCTTCCGTTAATTGTGTGAGGGACTTCTCTGCAATGAAACAGGATCATTTAAATGTGAAAGTAGATTATCTTTGTCCCTCTCCCTTCTCTTATTATTATCTCTGTTATTGCAGGTCAAAACAGACTTGAGGAACAGACTGCAGGGAGAGCATCTAGCCGCCTGCATGCGGCTCTCCATCACCCCCCCCCCCCCCCCCCCCCCCCCCATCAAGGAGCTCAATTACAGGAGGGCAATGGAAATCTTTTTCCAAAAGCCCAGAAGAATAAAGTGCTCTGACAAAGGCTATAAACTGTCAGAACTAGGTTTTTGGCAGAACCTGGAAAGAGATTTCCAACGCCCTCCTTTTGTGATGAACATGAATTAGTGGGCTCTAATTCATGTTCAGTCAAATGTTCCTCTTAATTTTGACAAGATAAACTTTTTTATTTCATAAAGAAAGTCTCTGCTGTGTTTCTTTAGATAGAGGGATGCAAACTAGTCACCTTTCGGCAAAATTCGCTGTTTTTTTTTTGGGGGGGGGGGGCTATGGATCAATAGTGGCTGTAAGCGAACAAGTGATGCACGTTTGTTGCAATACTGGCATTAGCGGGCGCTCTGGAAAGAGAGCAGAAAGGCAGTTTGCCAGTTACAGCAGCGCGTCAGAGGATAACAAAGAGGTAGGTGAGAAGCCTGACAACGGAGAAGTAACCGAAAAACAACTGGCATTTGGAAAGTTTGAGGTGAGGGAGCAAGTGTGGTGGAACAACAATTGTTAGCATTGTTAAGTATCTTGCAAGCTGGGTCGAATTATCCGTTAGCTAGTTAACTACTATCTATTAACTAATGTTTTCCCTCTACAGTATGTGGTTAATTTTCAGAATGAGAGAATTAGGCATTGCTTGTTAAACAAGTGGATTCAGGGATGAAGTGTAGCTGGAGCTGGGCCTGGTTTAAGGTGGATGCCACTATAGAGGTGAAAGGAACACCACACACTTTCCCTCTTTCTCACTTTTTCAATACGGTGGATAAAAAGGGGTATGCCAGGTGTACTCTCTGCCTGAAAGAGATCAATTATGCCAACAAAGGGTCTCATGCTCTGCTGCTGGCACATTGTAGCATAGATATATATATATATATATATATAGCCTTGTGCACTTGATCGATGTCTACTATAGTGGTCACTATAATCGTAGCCACTATAACAGAGATAAAAATAGAATGCCTGTTTGTTTCATTATATTTCTACTTTAAGATGTTTTTTTTTTCTTCCCAAGTACAATATTTAGATGTGTTTATTTTTTATTTAACTAGGCAAGTCAGTTAAGAACAAATTCTTATTTACAATGACGGCCTACCCCGGACAACGCTGGGCCAATTGTGCGCAGCCCTATGGGACTCCCAATCACGGCGGGTTGTGATACAGGCTGGAATCGAACCAGGGTCTGTAGTGACCCCTGTAGCACTGAGATCCAGCACCTTAGACCGCTGTGCCACTCGTGTGTGTGGTCACAAGCGTTCTATTATAAAGGCTGTCATGCTAACTGCAATATTAATGTATTGTTTTTCTCTGGACTTGAGTGTCATTTTCAGTAAAGTCTAGGCAACAAATAACATTGGAGTTAGGTTCCCATTAACCACTTTTCATTTTACACACAGAGACTGATCATGTAGATCATATTCTTTGTTGTTTAATTAGTTAAAACCTACATTCTGGGTTGAAGGTTCACCTTCCAACAGGACAATGACCCTAAGCACACAGCCAAGACAACGCAGGAGTGGCTTCGGGACAAGTCTCTGAATGTCCCGTGTAGCTCAGTTGGTAGAGCATGGTGTTTGCAACGCCAGGGTTGTGGGTTCGATTCCCACGGGGGGCCAGTATGAAAATGTATGTACTAACTGTAAGTCGCTCTGGATAAGAGCGTCTGCTAAATTATGTAAATTAAAAAATGAGTGGCCCAGCCAGAGCCCGGACTTGAACCCGATCAAACATCTCTGGTAAGACCTGAAAATAGCTGTGCAGCGATGCTCCCCATCCAACTTGAGAGGATCTGCAGAGAAGAATGGGAGAAACTTCCCAAATACAGGTGTGCCAAGCTTGTAGCGTCATACCCAAGAAGACTCTAGGCTGTAATCGCTGCTTCAACAAAGTACTGAGTAAAGGGTCTGAATACCTATGTAAACGTTTTATATTTTTTAAATATAAATTTGCACACAAAAAAATAATTGTTTTTGCTTTGTCATTATGGGGTATTGTGTGTAGATTGATGAGGGGGGAAAAACTATTTTATAATAAGGCTGTAACATATCAATGTGGAATAAGTCAAGGGGTCTGAATACTTTCCTAATGCACTGTAACTGCATTATAGTAGCTTCAAGGCTACATTAAGAACAAGGCAAAAATATTTTAACATATAAAACCACAATAAGCAGTGTACTGTTTATTCTAGACAACATGTCACACTACCATGTCAAAAAAGGGGATGGGATCTATCACTCATATTTTATTTGTCACTTGCTTCGTAAACAACGTGTGTAGACTAAGTGAAATGCTTACTTACGGGCCCTTGACAATGCAGAGAAAAAGAAATACAGAAATAATAGAAAAGTAAAACACGTAATAATAAAAGTAATAATAAATACACAATGAGTAATGATAACTTGGCTACCAGTACCGAGTCAATGTGCAGGGGCACGAGGTAATTGAGGTAGATATGTACATATAACTAGGAATAAAGTGACAGATAAACAGTAGCAGCAGTATGTGATGATTCAAAAAAAGCAGTCTTATGGCTCGTTGGGAGTAGAAGCTCTTCAGGGTCATTGCCGTGCGGTAGCAGAGAGAACAGTCTATGACTTGGGTGTCTGGAGACTTTGACAATTTTAAGTACCTTCCTTTGACCTCCTGGTATAGAGGTCCTGGATGGCAGGGAGCTCGGCCACAGTGATGTACTGGGCCGTACGCACTACCCTCTGTAGCGCCTTGCAGTCGGATGCCAAGCAGTTGCCATACCAAGCGGTGATGCAGCCAGTCAAGATTCTCTCTATGGCGCAGCTGTAAAACTTGAGAAATCTTTTCAGCCTCCTGAGGGGGAAGAGGCGTTGTTGTGCCCTCCTCACGACTGTGATGGTGTGTGTGGACCATGATAGATCCTTAGTGATTTGGACATCAAGGAACTTGAAGCTCTCAACCCACTCCACTACAGCCCTATCAATGTGAATGGGGGCTTGCTAGGTCCTCCATTTCCTGTTGTCCACGATCAGCTCCTTTGTCTTGCTGACGTTGAGGTTGTTGTCCTGGCACCACACTGCCAGGGCTTTGACCTCCACCCTATAGGCTGTCTCATCATCATCGGTGATCAGGCCTACTTACCACCATCGGCAAACTTAATGATGGTGTTGGAGTCGTGCGTGGCCATGCAGGCATGGGTGAACAGGGACTACAGGAGGGGACTAAACACACACCCCTGAGGGGCCCGCGTGTTGAGGGTCAGCATGGCGGATGTGTAATTGCCTACCCTCATCACCAGGGGGCAGCCCGTCAGGAAGTTCAGGATCCAGTTGCGGAGGGAGGTGTTTAGTACTAGGGTTCTTAGCTTATTGATGAGCTTGGAGGGCACTATGGTGTGGAATGCTGAGCTGTAGACAATGAACAGCATTCTCACGTAGGTGTTCCTCTTATCCAGTGGGAAACGACAATGTGGAGTGCAATTACATTAAGTTTATGCAAAGAGTCAATATTTGCAGTGTTGACCCTTCTTTTTCAAGACCTCTGCAATCCGCCCTGGCATGCTGTCAATTAACTTCTGGCATGCTGTCAATTAACTCCATTCTTGCATAATCAATGTTTGGAGTTTGTCAGAATTTGTGGGTTTTTGTTTGTCCACCTGCCTCTTGAGGATCGAC